TCTTGTCCCTTTCTTCTAGTTTTATTGTGGTACCTCAGTAGTCTCCTAACTCCTAACCTGCTCTCAAATATAAGGCCAGTGTTTTTTTAGGTAGATAAGTATCAGAACTTTCCTGGGCTACAAGCGTTCCAGCATTCATTAGAACTATCTACATAGCCCAAATCTAATGACACTCAGATTTTCTGCCTTCAAAGACAAAGTTGAGCATTTACAGCTCCTGGGATTTCATCCCTGTACCATAAATAGGAGTGACTACAGACATTAAAGTTTTTCCCCAGAGACTTAAGGACTGAACCTAAAAAAAAAAAAAAAATCCATTCACTACCTCCTTACCCAACAGTCTTTTCAGTTCCATTTCCAACCCCATACCTCATCCATTGACATATCCCACACTCTGCAAATTTCATTCTCCATTTCTTCATCAAGCTCCATCTGCTGCTCCTCATGATCTGAGCTGGATTTGGAGTTTCCAGGGCTAACAATCTTCAGAAACACAAAGGAAGGAGATGAATAAAGGCTGTCCACAGTACTCCTCAAGTAATACTACCCCGTAATCATTTAGAGGTCACAACAAAAAAAAGGGGGAATTCCCTGGTGGTCCAGTGGTTAGGACTCCAAGTTTCCACTGCAGCAGGCACGGGTTCATTCCCTGGTCGGGGAACTAAGACCCCGCATGCCACCCGGTGCCGCCAAAAAAAAAAAAAAAAAGGAAATTAGTACCTTGGGTACCTTGGGTAACCACTATTGCTAGGCACTGGGTAGAAATACAAAGATAAACAAGATTTAATCCCTTACTTCCAAGTAGTTTAGGATCCAGTGGGGAAAAGACATATAAACTGATAATCACAACAGAAAAAGCTAAGTGATCCAACTGAATTGTGGACATGATGGACCCATGACCTACATCTGGGAGAAGTTTTCCCAAACTTCTCTTAGGAGGTGATACTGAAGCTAAATCTTTGAGAAGTAATCGAAGTTTGTCATGTGAAGAAGCGGGAAGAGCATACAGAAGAAAATACAAGAGTTCAGAGTTAAGAAAGGGCCTAGCATGTGTGCGGAATGGTAAGCAGTTTAGCGTGTCATGGGCAGATGAAGCTGGAAAAGTTGCAGAGTCCTGGATTCCAAGCTAAGAAATATGCATGTTTCTCCTGTAGGCAAAGGTAGCTCTGAGGAGTTCCCATAGACAGCTTTTTTTTTTTTAAGATGATTCTCGCAGCTGTGTAGAAGGTGGAGTGGAGAGAACAGTGATTGGAAGCAGGAAAAAAGTTAGGGAAACATAAGAACGTTCATATTTACTGAGAGGCTCCTATGAGGCAAACACTATAGTAAGCACTCTATGGCTGTTATCATCTTATATAATCTACACAATAATTCTATATACAATAATATAAATATTATCCCACTTTACAGAAACTGAGAAAGATATCGGTTAGGCAATTTGCCCAAAGTCACGCTGGGCAAGCCGCGCTGTTGACAACAGGGCTTTTTGACTGCAAAATCACCATTTATTCTACTACAACGAAAGTCCTCGAAACAGATCAATTAGGACCTGGGCTTCAGAAACGAGAGTGGGAATGAGGGGCAAAAACTGGTCACGTATTTCTGGAAAATTTTCAAAAGTAAAACATTTTAATTAGAAGCATTCCAGCATCCCTGCCATTACACTTCCCTTTGTGTTGAGGGGCACAGGGAGTGGCGCACGGCAGTTTCAGGGTCCGGGAGACAGCAAGGACGCAAAGGGTGAGACCCGGCCGCTGGGGCCTGGGGAGGGGGTCGCCGTGGGGACGGCGGCTCCCCCGGCAGTAGGGGGCTGCCAGAGGCGGGGTGGGGGTCTGGGGGAACGTACAGGGAGCCCACGCGAGGCGCGAGTTTCCGCACCTGCAGGAGCCCGGTGAGGACGCCGATGAGCCAGTGCTTGTTGTAGACCGTGTTGCCTATGCAGTCCCCCACGGCCGCCTCCTCCTCCTCGTCCCCGTCCCGACTCCGCGGCGGCGGTGAGGGATTGCGGTCCATGACTTGGCCTTCCCCGGCGCGCGAAAGCAGCTCCGGAAGCCGTCGGTGGAGGAGAGAGGCCTCCAGGCGCCAAGAGGGCACGGCGCGGCTCCCGCCACAGCGCCCCCTGCTGCCCGGAGCCCTGCCAGTCCGAGCAATATGCCCATCAGACTAGGGAGCCCTGTTGTCTTGACTTACCCGACGCTCTACCCAGGACCGCAGCGCGGTTATATTCATAATTGTTATTTGTCACCCTCACTGGACCAGATATTCCATCTCTCCAAGAGCCCTTAGTCTGCGGGCACGGAACAGGACAATGTCTCTAGTACAGACGTGAAGCTATCGGACCTCGGACCTCTGGGCACACTTGCCGTTCTTAAAAACATCATTCTTCTCCCAGGTGTGGTCGGAATCCTGGAAAAGACGAAAGTCACCAGGAAGAACGTCAGTATTACAACTCCCTGTGTTTTCAGTTCCTGCTTCTATTTAGTTTGATGGCACTCAACATCAGACCCAACGCTCTACCAAAGCCCACAGCAAAAATTTTAGAACACCACTTTAATGAAATGAAATTTATAGATGATATAACTTACCTCAACATGTAATTCCGATAATATCAATATGATTCCCTTACAGAAAGGAAAAATAAAATTAATTTTAAATAAAATATGTATTTTAATGTATTAAATGCTCCGGCACAACTGTACTAGAAGATATAACAAAGATCTCCGATTTTGGCACATACACATCAAATTACTGTGAGCCCCACATTTACAAATGCAGAACAACATAGGTGTGGTTCCTCAGGGAACTTGCTTCTCAAAATCATGAACAGATGATGGTAAAATTTCTAACAAAATAAAGTTCCAATTGACACAGCAATTGCACTTATGGAAATTTTTAAGGTATATTAAAACAGGACAAAAAAATACTGTGTTAATACATAAAATACAACTAGACCCTAGGCTCAAATAATTATAAACATTTTTTCACCTTTTGTGCAGGGGCAGACCCAGGTTTTGTGGGGCCTGAATTATGCAATTTCAGAAGCCCCTTTTAGGGGAAACAGTACAAAATTACAAATATTAAATTTGTTACAATAGGAAATATTTATTTAGAATGGGAAAAAAGAAATCACAGTAAATCACCAATTTTAAGAAACCAACAAATACCTTAAAATGAAATCCAGAAAAATATGCAACTTACTTCTATTAGTAAGTAGCCTGACACACTTCTACAATCCTTTTTCTTTTTTTAGTAGACTTTATTTTTGGAGCGGTTTTAGCCACAGCAGTATTAAGCAGAAGGTACAGAGATTTCCCTTAGAACCCTTGCCCCCATTCATACATAGCCTCTACCATTATCAACATTCCCCACCAGATACAATGTACAACATTTGATGCAATTGACAGACCTACATTGGTGCATCATTATCATCCAGAGTCCGTATTTTACATTAGGGTTACTCTTGGTGTTGTACATTCTATGGCTCTGGAAATTTATAATGGCAGATATCTACCATTATAGTATCATACAGAGTAGTTAGTTTCACTGCCCTAAAAATCCTCTGTGCTCTGCCTATTTACAATCCTTTTTTAATATACTTTTTGCTGAGGTTTCTTTGATCACTTTTTTATATAACAGTGACCTTGTAAGAACATTTTCTGTAACAAAAAATAGGTAATTCTGTCTTTAGCATAGTTTAAATTTTTAAAAATTATAATTGGTAGTTTAGGAAATTATCAGTGGCTGAAAGTTTCTTTCAGCTTCACAACTTGTTATTGGTAATATTCTGTAAAGTTATTATTTTTTTAGGCTACCTAGTTTTTTAAATTAATTAATTTATTTATTTTTGACTGTGTTGGGTCTTCGTTGCTGTGCATGGGCTTTCTCTAGTTGCGGCGAGTGGGGGCTACTCTTTGTTGCGGTGCGTGGGCTTCTCATTGCAGTGGCTTCTCTTGTTGCAGAGCATGGGCTCTAGGTGTGCGGGCTTCAGTAGTTCTGGCGTGTGGGCTCAGTAGTTGTGGCTCACAGGCTCCAGAGCACGGCTCAGTAGTTGTGGCACATGGGCTTAGTTGCTCCGGGGCATGTGAGATCTTCCCAGACCAGGGCTTGAACCCGTGTCCCCGCATTGGCAGGCAGATTCTTAACCACTGTACCACCAGGCAAGTCTTGTAAAGTTCTGACTGCTTGAATTTTCCTTAGATTTTCATGGTGTCAAATTTTCCTACCCTCACAGAAAGGATGGGGATATTTTCTACTGGGCAGAATTGTTTGTATAAAAAAACAATCATTTGTTTTTTTGAAGGGTTAAATTGTCTGTAGAACCACCTGGGACTGCTGTTTTCTCTGGGGGAAGATTTGATCTTTTACAATAATTATAGAATTATCCAAGTTTTCATTTCTTCTTGAGTCAGTTTTTGTAAGTTGTATTTTTCTAAGAATTTGTTGATTTTTATCAAGTTTTAAGCTTTATTGCCAAAGTTGCTCATGGTATTCTTATTATCTTTTCCATGATTTGGAACAGGGAGTTATGGACTGATAATTGGTCCATATAATAGTCCATATATGGTTTATATAGTATAGTCTGTGTTCTGGACATACAGCTGTCCTGCTCTCCACATGGGTGGGTTCCACTCAGCGGATGTGGAGAGTCAACTATACTATGGCATTTTATATGAGGCACTTAGTATTTGCGGATTTTGGTATCCGCAGGCGTCCTGAAACCAATCCCCTGCAGATACCAGTGGATGACTGTGAAGTTTTACCCCAAATTATTACTACTGTTTATTAGTGTGTTATCTCCTTTTTAAAAACTATGATGTTTATTGATCATCCCCATGGTATTAAATAGGCTTATGTTCCCAAGAAGACTGTCAACATGCTGTTTCCAAATGCCAAGGACAAATTGGATTTCACAAGCATTTGTTCAACATTTTTATGTGCTCTTTATCAGCTATCAAGAACTACAGATACAGAATACAGCAACCTAGCTCAGCACTGTCTCCACTCGCTTAAGCCCTGTCTCCTGAGCAGAGTGAGAGGCAGCTCAGTACTTGTCGGGCAGGCCGTCAGGTCTGAAGTGATTGGGGTCTTTGCCACTCCGGCCCCATTTATTGGCAGCCTGGTCGGCCCTCGAGTCCTCCAGTCCGTGGCCACTGTCTCCATGCTGAAAAAAGTCTGTGACTCTCGGAATAGTCTCTCTGGCATCGCTGGAATGGAGGAGGGCAGGTAGGGGATTAGTGCAGGGCTGACGAGCAACAGCCCACCCTCCCCATCTCTCCTCTTTCCAAGGAATCAAGGACTCTGACAGGAGCTAGGAAAGAGGGGAAGAAGCCTGAGGCTGCCCGGGCTCAGCCCACCTCAGCCCTGCGGGTCCCCTTATGCTGGGTGAACGGCACCCATGGGGGCGGCGTGGGAATCGTCTGTGCCACCAGCCTTGCTCTGCTCTTCAGCCACTCAGACCCCACACAGGACAGAGGGTGAGGGTGGGTAAGAGGAGGAGCGGCCACAGCCCTACAGGAAGTTCTCCAGGGCTTGGCCCCTCCCGGCTGTCCGAGGCTCTCACACCCATCGCTGCATCCTCAGGGCCCCTGGTACCTGATCACTTTGGCAGCCCAGGCACCCCCAGGTCCCCTTTGGGCAGCGTCATAGTTGCCCCGGGCGTGGAAGTACTTGTCGGAATTTTTGTAATTGGCTTCTCTCATGTCAGAGTAGGCTCTCCACATGTCTTTAGCCCCTGGCAGGAAAAGAAAGTGATGATATGAACATGATCACGTCTCAGCAAAATAGAGAAAACATTTTCCTCCCACTGGGTCCAGATTTCAGCCCTTGACTAAGCCCTTGGAGATTATTATATTGGCTTGAAATGAATATTCCTTTACTTTTCACTTCCCTGGGTTAATGTTATGAGAATCATACGTGGTGCAAGTTTTACTCTGTTTGATTCCATCCTAAGTCTGTTGGTACTTCGTTTTTGGTTGTGTGTGATGCGTGTGAAGAGGAGGTTGGATGCTCTTTAAGGGATGTTTGGTTGTACAATGGACCTCTACCTGGAAAGATACAGGAAACCCTCTGACCAGAGCTTGAGAACAAAGGCGATTCTGAGGGAGGTTGCAGACATAGGATGCTCCCAACCTAGTCAAGGGGAGAAATCCATCCCTGTGGACAAAGTGAGGACAACTCGGTCCTGAGTACATCTGAATGTCCGGGGCATATTTGGACCTCGCCAACTGTCAAAATTCAATCAGCAGGTGATAAAGGTGAGTTCCTTAAGAGAGCTTTGAAGAAACAGGGTAATCAGATGCAGAAAAAGGGCAACTGACGCACCAGCTCTAAAGTTCAGTGTCCTCTCCAATAAAATGGAGGAGTATTGCCTCCCTCAGAGTGGTTACACAGAAGAACTGAGGAAATACAGGTTTAACAGCTAAAATGTTGTAGGTGCTCAGTATACTATGACCTCTCTACTCCTTAGGAAGAGTGGGACAAAAAAAAAGAAAAAGAATGAAGATGCGGAGCAGGGAGTTATGGACAGAAGGACTCTGATCAGCTAGAATTAAATGGCGAAGTTAAAAAAAAAAACTTATCAGGACAAAGAGAAAAATCCAATGTAGAGTTATAACCAGGGTTTATATAATGACTCTATGAGATAACTTATCTTCATATTATATATTTGTCATGTCTGGTATTTGGAAAGGTAGTTTTGTTGAGAGTTATGACATTCCTACTATACTTATTCCCACTGAGTTACTGATTTAAATAGATCCTTGAAGTCCAGACTTTCTTAAAAAGTATTTCCAAAATGCCTGGCATATCTTCTCACCTAAGGTCAGCAAAACCAGAGGTACTGTGCACACTTCAGTGTGCATAAAAATCAACTGGGGTGCTTAATAAAGGCCAGATTTCCAGTCTCAACCCCAGGGATTATGATTGAGGGGAAGGGTTGTGTGTGGCCCCAGGCACCTGCATTCCACAAAGCACCCCAGACCACAGGTGATTCTCATGCACGTGGCCCTAGAACAGCCCTTTGAAAAACACTGACCTAAGAGATGAAAAAATATTTTTAGCTGGATCTGTGAGAATTTAGATAGAATGGCCAACAAACTCTTAAAACAATTATTCAGTAACTATCACAGAAAAATAATAACACAAAATAATTTTGAGGAATAACAAATTTTTGCTATTTCACTCTGGCTAGTGAGGTACACATCACTTGCTATCGGTTTCCGGCCAGGTCTCAGCCTCAGTAAAACCATTGTCGAGGTAATTCATTGTGCCATTTATGGTGGGGAGAGGAGCTCTATCAAGTTGCCTTCTAAAGGCACCACATCCCCACTATTTGCCATTTGCTCAGATACAGAGCAGGACATGTGTTCACAAATCCCTCACTCTCCCACGTGTACTCTTGTCTGGGAACCATATAATACCGCGGTTAATAGCAAGGTCTGGGGGAGCTCAATGTCTTGGGTTAAATCCCGCTCTGCTGGAGGGCTTTGTTAGGTGTCTTAATTTCTTGGTGCCTCAGTTTCTCTGGTAAGGGATAATGGTACCAACATTGCAGGACTAAAGGATTCAAACCTGAGGATGACAAGGAGTTCACTCATGCATGCGAAGCTCTTAGAACAGTGCCTAGCAGGTATTAAAAGCTCAGGTATTTTAGTTATAATTATTAAGTGGATGGGGAGGGTGAACATTCCCCACCCATTTAATGCACCCACTTCATGGTACCTGAGACTTGGAAATGAGCCATCCCTGGTTGCCCACGAGGGGGCAGCAGAGCCCCACTTGTATTTAGGGGACATGCACCTCCTGAACCCGATCTCTTCCTCACTCCTGCT